TGTTGCGTTGAGTGTTTACGACAAATGTGGCTACGCGTAATGAGCTTCAACAACAGCTGCAAGTTTACGCCCCCAAGAAACGTAACAACGAAGATGATTCTGCCCCAGAAAAGAAGAAGTCAAGAATGCAGTCGCAGACTAAGTGCCATTTTTGTGCGAAAGTTGGCCACAAATACGCCGAATGCCGCGCTCGAAAGGAAGGTACATCAAACATAAAAAGAAGAAGAAGAATGGATTATTCCTTCCATTCTTTTTCGATTCGGGAGCCGAATGTTCTTTGGTAAAAGAAAAATTAAGCAACAAATTAGCTGGCAATAGAAGTAATAATCTAGTTATTTTAAGAGGAATTGATGATAATATATTTAAGAGCCACTTGCAAATACTATCAACAGTCCAAATGTCTCAATTTAATTTAGATTTTTTGTTTCATGTTGTAATTGATAACTATTTAAGGCACGACATAATGATTGGTCAAGACATATTAAAGCTTGGTTTCGGTGTATTGATTCAATCTGATAAATTTAGTATTTACAAATCCAAAATCATTAATGCCGTTCAAAATAGTGCACCTGAGAACACTTTGGAAATACTTTTTGACACCAATACATAATTAAGTGATAATGATAAATGTAAATTAAGAAATGTATTGGAAAGGTATGCCGATAGTCTCGTAATTGGGATACCAAATAAGTGTGTAACCACAGGTGCATTGGAAATTCGTTTAATTGATAAGAATAAAACTGTTCAAAGGCCATATCGACTCAGTACAGATGAGAAACTGTTGGTTAGATAAAAGATAGAACAAATGCTTGAATCTAATGTAATTCGTCCCAGCAGTTCTCCATTTGCAAGTCCAATGTTATTAGTTAAAAAGAAGGACGGCAGTGACAGGTTGTGTATCGATTTTCATGAGCTAAACTTAAATACGATTTCTGATAAGTTTCCATTGCCACTGATTGGTAAATACTTTTCCATTTTAGACATGGCCAGCGGATTTTATCAAATACCGATTCATCCAGATTCTATAGAAAAAACAGCATTTGTGACTACAGAGTTTCAGTACGAGTTTCTGGCCATGCCATTTGGTCTAAAACATGCGTCGTCTATTTTTCAACGTGCCATTGTTCAAGCTTTGGGAGACTTAGCCTATTCCTATGCATTTGTTTACATAGACGATGTGCTAGTAGTTGCGAATACAAAGGAGGAAGCATATGAGAGGTTGAATACAGTGTTAAAAGCGTTGTCAGAGGCAGGGTTCTCGTTCAATATAAAAAAATGAAATTTTCTTTGTACAGGAATAGAATACCTAGGATTCTACATCAAGGATGGAGAAATTAAACCAAATCCTCGTAAGATAGAAGCCCTTTCTGTTTTATCTCAGCCAACCTCGGCAACGCAGTTAAGGCAGTTTATAGGTCTGGCATCGTACTTCAGACAATTCGTTCCACGATTCTCAGAGAAGATGAAGCCACTGTATCAGTTAACCTCTAAGCTGAATGCTTTTGTTTGGAAGGAGGAACACGAGAAGATACTGCAGGATATTATCAAAGTGTTTACATGTGACCCTGTACTGACCATATTCGGCCCTGAGCTTCCAATTGAATTGCATACTGATGCCAGTGCAGATGGCTATGGCGCTATGCTCAAGCATAAAATAGAAGGGAAAGTCGAATACTATAGCAAATGCACGTTAATATCAGAAGCCAAATATCACTCGTATGAATTAGAGACGCTAGCTGTCTATAATGCAGTAAGACATTTTAGACATTATTTGCACGGTAGAAAATTTGTTTTGTATACTGATTGCGCTTCATTTTAAGGTAGTCGTACAAAGACCGAGTTGACACCAAGAGTACACCGCTGGTGGGCGTACTTACAGGCATTTGACTTTAGTGTAGAATATCGCAAGGGCAGCCAAAAGGCTGCCTCAAAAGAGGCTTGTGAAAAGTGGCTGTCCGAGTTCTTCGCAAATAAGGAGGGTGGCTTCTACGAGGGAGGTATTATGAAGTTGCCGTCTAGATGGAAACAGATGATCGAACAAAACGGCGCATATTTGAACTAAATCCGATCACTGTAACACTTTTTAACAAAGCATTGAATAAAGAGCAAAAAAAGATAGATGCGTTCACTAAGTTTGTTCACTTGTATCATACTCTAAATCTTGACTCGGAAATTTGTATTAATGCTATAAAGTCAAGTATGTCTTTCTTTGAAGTTCCCAGTCGTATTATAGCGGAACAAGGCAGAAGTTTTGCCAGCAACAAGTTCCGTGAGTTTTGTTCAACAAACAGGATTGAGTTGCACTTAATAGCTACAGGTGCCAGTAGAGCAAATGGGCAGGTTGAAAGGGTGATGATCACTCTTAAGACTATGCTTACTGCTGTGGAAACGAGTCAGCGATCATGGCAAGATGCGTTGGCAGAAATCCAACTAGCCATGAATTGCACCACAAATCGAGTCACTAAGGCAAGTGCTTTGGAACTGCTGATAGGAAGAGAAGCTAGGCCTTTTGGGTTGATGCCAGTCGATGTGGAAGACACTTTCGATACAGAACAGATGAGGGCACAAGCCAAAAAAAACATGCAAAAGAATGCACAGTACGATAAACAAAGGTTTGATAAAAACAAAGCAAAAGTAATTCGGTATAAGGTAGGCGATCATGTGTTACTGATAAGCGAGGAGCGGCATCAAACGAAGCTTGGCCCCAAATTTAAGGGCCCATTTCAGGTAATTAATGTACTAGATGGTGATCGAAATGAGTTGAAGTCGTTAGTTAATAAGCGAACATACCAGACAGACGATTGACAGCAGAATGTAATGGTGACTCCCAAGAGGTAGAAGAGTTGAAAGATGTCACTAGGACTAGGACGTCACTAGGAAGATGTCGCAGGGACGAGAAGTTTTATGGCGGGGGTCAAAAGATGTGAGAAAGGGTGTGAGAGAAGACACGCCAATGTTGATATGCGAAATTAAAGTTATGGAAAAAATGAATAGTTTGAAGTTTTGATGCGTAGATTGGAGATGTCTCTATAATTAAGTTTGTAAAAGGAAAATCAATCATGAGATGAATTGTCAATTAATGTTTGTGTAAGCGGCTCTATAAGTTAATAAATGTAAGAGAAAAATACATTGAAGTTTGTTAAAAAAAATATGGGAATTAAGTTGATGAAATTGTGTGAATTGGACTTGAATGGTAGATAAGACACACGAGGACGTGTGATAGGTCAGGAAGGCTGTGTCGGAGCGCGTCTCTAGGAATTTTGGGAATCTGATGAAATTGTAGCATTGTGGTGAAATTCTGAGAGGCACTGCAGCAGAGGTGCAGACGGCCTCTGCAGCTGAGTGAGGTCCGATCTGGTTGTCATAAATAGTGTGTTAGAGAGGGATGACAATATAGTGAACGCCAGTGTTGTGTATAGACCGAATAGAATATGAGGAAGATTGGTAAAAAGGAGAAAATCACCTCAGTGAAGTTTGACTGGTGGAATAGATCGGAACCAAAATTATAAAACTTACATATAAAACGGATAAGACTCCCCTAATGCGGACATATATATATGAGAAATATCTACAATGTGCAAAACAGAACATAAAGACACTAAACTTAGTTATGAATTAATTAATTAATTTAATCCGAGAGAAAAATATGTCATCGACTTTTATTTAATCGATAATAAAACATTTGTGTCATGCATTGACATTTATTATAAATACGCTGCCTTAATTGAAGTCAGCTCTAGAGACTGGCTTGAAGCAAAAAGAGCTTTACTCAGAATCTTTAATGACATGGGAAAACCGTCCGAAATAAAGCCGATAAAGATTCTGCATTCATGTGTGCTGCATTACATGTATGGCTAAAGTCCGAAATCGTGAACATAAATGTCACAACAAGCAAAAATGGAATTTCTGACATTGAAAGGTTCCATAAAACTACCAACGAAAAGCTAAGAATCATAAATCATCTTCATTTATGCAGGAACACCCGCATATGACATCCAGCTAGAAACAAAAATAAATAGAATAGATAAGCTGAATGAAAACAGACATAGTTACGAAGTAGATACCAAATATAGACAAACACCGTTAGATAAAAGTAAAGCTACTAACCCTTTTAGGAAAACAGGTCAAATAAAACAAACAGATGACAAACATTACGAAGAAACTAATAGAAGATGAAAAATTGATCATTACAAATCTAATAAAAGTAAATACATTTCCAGCTCAACACTCAAATGGAACCTAATTAAACAACTAATCACAATAACCTTCATGTACCCTTTATGGGTACCGCATATAAATATCTTATTGGCACGTTAAATGAGAATGATAAAGAAGAACTTGAACAAAAAATCAATCATTTTTCCCAAAACTTAGTTCAAACTAATGAATTAAACGAAACAATAAAAGCAGTCAATGGAGGTATTGAAGTAATAAATCAGTTAGGCGCAATTTATGAAGGTGATCAAGGACTAGAACATTTAATATTCAATTTGCAACATTTCATGATAAATTTTACATTCAAAATAATCAAATTTAAAAACAATAATAATCCAGAGAACCACTATTAATTAAGTGTATTAAAGGTATACATCAATCACCAGCAGAGTGTAGATATTCTATAATCCATAATACTCTTGGAGTAATTTATATAGAGCCAAATATTATTTTATCTGGGAAATTATCAAAAACGGTTTTAAATCAAAATTGCATAAGTAATAGTATTAATATAATATAATAAACGCTTTTAATTGTTCTGTTCAAATATATAATATCTTAATAACAAGCACAACATTAGATTATACTCAAACTCAGGCAAGGGTTTGCTAAGCGATCAACTCGCACTCCAACTTCAAATCTAATTGTCTCCGATTCGAAGTTGTAATTTTTGTCTTGTAATATAAATATAAAATTTTTTCAAAACTTTTTGTATTTTTTTTTGTAATTATTTTAAACTATTACTGTAAATTATTGCAAATATTTGTCTGTATTTTTTTTTTTTTGGCACGACGCAATATTCGGTTGAATTATGAAAAATCTCGTCGATTTGTCGCTAAAAGCGCAGACGTAATAACCGGAGGTCCTTTCATATAAATTTGTATGGGGACCAACGAAGCCATCGAGTTTCCGTCGCAATAACCGGACTGACGCTATAAGCTATAAGATTCTACTGTATGTATATAGTGACATTTCCATAAGTCCCTTAGTCCCTACTTATTACAACACAGCAGTACACACACAACAAGCATACCCAATACTACCCTACACTTCGCAATTGTACTCAACCAATAGATAAGATAAAAACTGTTACCCAAATCCCAGAACCAAGGTCAAGTGGAAAAACCCCAAAATCGAACAAAGTCCAACGGACTCCGCCTTTCCCAATGCACTTATTAAGGCTCCGAAATGCTGGACACAATCTTTTTCAATGTATGGTTACCGGCACTACGCCGCTGCACTGACCGCTCCTAGGCCTTTACTAGTCTGAAGAAGCACCTGCAACACCGCGACCGTCAAGATCTCATCTTTGTAGTCGATCACCTCCACGGCAGCATTGTGGGAGGCCTTGGACTCCGTGCCGCCCATCTTGAAATTTCTTGTGTGTTGCTTTGAACTGGCGGTCTTCCTTCGCAAGGCGCCCGCTTGACTTCCTGTCAGTTGGCTCGAAAGTGACTTTTCCTTGATGAGTTGTTCTTTGGCCCGCCACTTGTCCTTCCCGTCCAGGACCTTGGAATCTGCAGGATTGAAGCGAAGATCAAGACCTTTCACCTTGGACAGCAATCTTTGCCTTGCCTTCAGACAGTCTTCTCCCGAGTATGACACCTTCCAGAAGAAGAAAGAACTTAACTGTCTCGATTGGCTGAAGTCTTCTTATATCGGCTCAGAGCTTTTTCGTAGCTACTCTGGTAATCTGGTCATGAGTCATATTTCATATTTCATATTTCCCCTGTTTTGGGTGTCAATACCCTGTTTCTAAACTATGCCCGTTACTGGAGTAAAATTTCCGTGGGGTCGATTGCGGCTGTTGGACTTTATGCCACCCGTTTTTTGCAGAACGGCATTTTCTGGGTTGCATTCCGTATAGTTAAGCGAAATGTTTGTAGACCTTCCTCTGCCTTAGATTCTGGATGGTTTTATGTGCGAATCTGCAAAGTCTTATAAATATACAAATAGGGCGTACGTAACATGCCCCACCATAAGTACAAGGTGGGCTCTCTATCTGCGAAGTTTTTAATAGTTTTTTGATAAAGTTGTGCTAACAAATGTGCTCCAAAAAGTTCTAATTTTGGCAGAGATAGCTTTAAGGTGGGAGCCACTCTGGACTTCGATGTGATTAGCTGTGATTAGAAGCCATGTATCTGAAGAGTGTGTATCGCGACGCAGCTGGGACATTCAAGCTGTTTGAATGCCTCGGGGTACTGACTTGTCCCAGCGTAGTTTTAGTAGCTGCAAAAATTGGATTGTAGCATCATGGACAAACTTGCAGTGATTTGAATCCTTGGCGATCCTTATGCCTTTTGCATAGACTGCGTTCGAGAGAGAGAGAGAGAGGATTCTCCTTCTGGCGATGTTGAATGAGGCTCCTCCATGGTCAAATGGTAGTCTACATCCAACCGCCCATCTGAGTTACGTCGTACCGTTTTTACATAGAACTCCTCAAAGTTTCGCTGCTCTGGCGTAAGTGTACTCTCGGGAATCTCCACATAATCGATGCGCCATAGCCGTTAAATTTATTCCTAAATTTTGTCTGGTGTGATAGATGAGCACTGATGAAGAACTCGACATCGACCAGACATAATCCATCCAAGTAACGTTTTCTGAAGTACTGGCAGATCCTTTCCTAATATAACTTGGCCGACAGCTAAGATATCGACGAAGGTTTGCGTGCCTAGAAGCAAATCGATGCGGCGAGACTTGTTGAAGCTATGAAATTTACCTGAGAACATGAATCCAGAAGCGCTCTTCCAATTCTGTAGCTTCCAGATATATCCTTGACCAAAATCAGTGCAGCGGCCAGGATGACACAATCGGAATGAGATTCCGTGTGAGTATGTGTGACTGCGTCCGAAACTTGTATAGACTCCGCTTGAGGTAGTGACAAGGGAGCTGCAGCCTATCCTGGTGACGGCCGATGAAGCAGCGAGTGATGCGGTAATGCACATGAGTGGCATCTCCGCGTCGACGGGCAGTTGGCTACAAGATGACCCTTGAAAATCAAATTAAATGAATTTGATTACCAAATGACACATGTCCATGCCAAAGAATTAATTAAAGAATATTTATTTACCAAAAGAAGCGTAATTTTCTTTCATAACGAAATTGATTTCCTTACATTTCAAAACACTTACATAGAAATTGTCAGTCCGAATAACATAACTAAGGTTATGAAATCAAACATTAATTTAAAAGATATTGAAACATATTCAGAATTTAAAGAAATATTTATAAAAAGCCACAGAAAACTTTTACACCCAGGAATAGAGAAACAAACTAACCTTTTCAAAGAAAAATATTATTACCCAGACCATTATTACCAAGATACCAGAACATTATTAATGAATGCGAAGTATGTAACATATCCAAAACAGAACAGGGAAAAACATCAATAATAAAACATTCCTGTCATGCATTGACATTTATTCCAAATATGCCGCCTTGATTGAAGTCAGCAGTAGAGACTGGCTTGAAGCAATGAAATGGGAAATCCGTCCGAAATAAAAGCCGATAAGGATTCAGCTTTTATATGTTCCTCGTTACACTTATTTCAACCTCACCGGAAAGCAAATATTTCTATCATGCAAAGACGTCTATTCGAAATATGCATCACTCATTGAGCTGAAAAGTAGAGATTTGTTAGAGGTAATGAGGGCTATAACGAAAATATTTAATGACATGGAAAACCACAGGAGATGAAAGCGGACAAAGACTTAGCATTCATGTGAATAGCTCTCCAGAAATGGCTAAGATCTGAAGGCGTAAACATATCCTTCACTAGAATCAAAAACGGAGTGTCCGATATAGAGAGGTTCCATAAGAGAAATTAAGAATCATTGGCAGCGAACCAAATATAGAAGACAGATGTACGAAATTCGAAACAATCCTATTTATCTACAATCACAAAACTAAACATAACACTACCAAAAAACTCCGACAGACATCTTTCTATACGCAGGCCGCCCAGACTTCAATGAACAACAAAACAAAAATTGACAAAATCGAACAACTTAATAAGAAAAGACATGACTTCAAAGTTGACACAAATTATAGGCAGACTCCACTCGTGAAAAGTAAAATAACCAATCCATTTAGGAAGACAGGAAGGATTGAACAGGTGGATGATAAACATTTTGGGGAAACTAACCGCGGCAGGAAAATCGTGCATTATAAATCTAAGTTCAAGAAACAAAAGAAGATTAATAAGAGCAAATACGATAATTCCAGAGCACGAGAGAGTTAAGCGATGCCCCATACTTCCCATATTAATTATCTGTATGATACCCCTTATCACCATGGTCCAATCCAGTAATATAGAAGTAAACCCACTCAGTGCCAAGAATGTATACCTTATCTTCCAAACAGGAACAATAGAAATTCCGAAAAGCTACGAATATTATTATTTAAGCATAAATATAACGAAGACAATGCTGACATTTGAGAACCTATTAGAAGAATCAAAAGTTTTCCCAAATGTACCCGAAATTCAATATTTAGTTGAGAAACTAATACGGAAAATCAATGGACTAAGAATTATTAAACGAAGTAAATGAGGTCTTTTAAATTAGTAGGAACAGCGTATAAATATTTATAATATTATATATTATATATATATATATATATATATTATATATATATATATATATATATATATATATATATATATATATATATATATATATATATGGTGATTTTATTTTAAATTTTAATTTATTTTAATTCATATATATATATATATATATATATATATATATATATATATATATATCAAATAAAAGAAGCCACGCATAATAAATTGGTAAATTCGAAGCAGTCAAAAGGATGGCTGGCCTGCTAGAAAAAAAGGACACACACTTGCCCCTTTTTTGATGGGCATCCGCTCGTCCTTATTCTGATTGTGCCATCCGCTGATTTTTCTAGCAATTTCATTTTATGACAAACTTGGCCGACTTCAATTTGCCCAATTTTCCATTACAGCTGCGAGGCGTTGATTGCGTTCTTGTATCATTTTACGATTTTTCGTAAGTATTTGGCTCACAATTCCGCCATGGCCAATACTCTATTCAAAACTCATTACCAAGCCCCATTGAAAGCTGGAAAGCTGAGTAAGTGGCGCGGGCACTTGCCATGCAAGAGCTGTTGCGGCCATTATTCACTTGATTTCTGCCCGTTTAATCGACTCACATCCCAACTTTTATCTCACTGAACTTTTGGCCCCGTTTGGTCTAGCCCAGTAATAATGATAAATGAAAAGAGAATAATAATAATAATTTATAATATTTATAAGCATGGTTATAGACATTATTAACAAGCTCAGAGCAGAGAAAGAAAAGAACCAACAGATCGCGATATTAATATTCAATTTACAACAATTCACAGAATATATAGAGGATATCGAATTGGGAATGCAGTTAAAGATATAAACATCAACTTGGCTTAAAACAGATACAAAGGAATTTCTAATTACAAAAATCACAAAAGTTTCAATCATTCAAGTAGTTCCTTACCCAGATGAACACGGTTACATTCTAACTGAGCAAATATTTGATAAATTTTATATTTCCAATAATCAAGTATACCATAAGGATACAGAGTTAGTAATATTCGATAAATGTATAGTTCGATTAATCAAAAAGGAAGAAACTCAGTGTAAATACACTAAGACTCATAAAAATTTTCAAATCAATTACATAGAACCGAATATACTAATTACATGGAATCTATCAGAAAAAGCCATTAATCAATATTGCACTAACAACAAAATTGTAATATCAGGAAATAACATTGTAAGGATTTAAAATTTTACAATCCAAATGAATGAATTTGTGGCGCCCAGACTAAAGCCGATAAAGACGATATCTTCTGATATCGTCAGACTGGCCACTCTGGACTTCAGCCTTGCCGCGTAACAAGCTTACGGCATCAAATTAACTTTCCATTGTGTCTCTTAATTAAATAAAGCTGTAACTACATTATTGGTGTCCCCGCAATAAACAAAATGCTCAATACCGGAGTTTCTGCGCCTGCACCGCCAACTTCGCCTGACTCTGGTGAAATTCAACGCGGAAACAGCGCAGGCACCGTTATCCCTGTCGTCGAGTCGGTTGGCGCCATCAATGCCATCAATTCCATTTTGGAAGCAAAATGAGCGGTTATGGTTTGTGAAGATCGAATATGGCTGCGATTTCAATGCAGCCGCATTTCTTCAGATAACACGTGCTACTACCATTTAATCAGTGCTTTGGATGCTGATATAATGACTGAAGTATCTCATGTTCTGGCGCAATCCTCGGAAGCTACCGCAGCACGTACAACGGGAAGCTCCTACGCTCAGCAACTTTGGAAGCGCAAATTGCACTCGCTGACGATCTCATGGAAGAGGAATCGGGTTCTTTTGTCATGGCTGCTGGGTCCTCCTCGGCACAATTCAGAGGCACGAATACGCGCCGGCAGCTGGCATAAGTGTCGTGGACGACTTGAAATGCGACATCGCTGCCATCAAGGCCTCTTTAACTCTTCTGCAGAACATGCAGCCTCCCAGCCATTCTCGCCCAGCCGATCGCAACGAGCAGCAACTCCGAGCAAAACGTGTCTGCTTTTATCATGCCAAATTCGGACTTAATGCACGAAAATGCTCCTCGCCCTGTGCCTGGGTGCCACAGCAGGGAAACTAAAGAAGCTGTCATCTGTTCAGGCGACTGGTGACTGCAGATCTCCAAGCACTCGCCCCTCAAAGAGGTACCGACTTCACATAATCGATCGTAATACCAACGTAAAATTCCTTATCGATTCCTGATCAGTCATCTCACTCATACTCTCACTCATACGAACGTTAAATCAGCAATCATCGGAGCAGATTTCCTCACGCACCACGTCCTCATCCTCGACCTGAAGGGTAAACGCCTTATGGATCCCTCAAAAGCTGTTTCGGCCAAAGGAGAAGTTGGAGAAGCAAAACTCTACAACGTTTCTACAATCAGAGTGCAAAGTTCCAGTGGAATAGATCGCCCGTACTCCAATCTTCTTAGTCGCTTTGTGCAGATCACACGGTCTAATATGCCTTTAGCAACCCGCATTCATAATGAGGTTGCGCCTTACATTAAAACAACTGGCCCATTTGTTTTCGACAAGCCAAGACGGCTAACAGGCGAAAAATTAAAAGCGGGATTTCGATCTCT